CAGAGGGTTCGGATCCCACATACAGACCGGTTCCCGCTCACTGGCTGAGCGAGGTGTGGGACCAACACCAAGGGTTGCGATCCCGTTGCCGAACACGAAAAAAGACAAAAAGGGAAAAAAAAAAAATCTCTCTACAGTAAAAATATCAATAAATTTTATTGAGCTATTTCTGATTATGCCTCTTAATGTAGGTAAACAGCATAATAGCAAAAGCATAGGTTGGTAAAACCAATTCTACAAAAGAACAAAACAATGTGGCCCATATAAGCAGCTTTCTCAAAATTTTGTTTAGAAAGATAAAATAACAGTATCTAATATAACCTCACACTCATTAGGATGGCTACTAACAAATAACACAGAAAATAACAAATGTTGGCAAGGATGTGGAGAAACTGGAACTCGCAGCTTTCTCAAAATTTTGTTTAGAAAGATAAAATAACAGTATCTAATATAACCTCACACTTATTAGGATGGCTACTAACAAATAACACAGAAAATAACAAATGTTGGCAAGGATGTGGAGAAACTGGAACTTTTGTGCACTGTTGGTGGTAATGTAAAATGGTATAGCTGCTGTGTTAAATGGTATGGTGGTTCCTCAAAAAATTAAAAATAGAATTGGCATATGATCCAGCAATTCCACTTCTGGGTATATACCCAAAATAATTGAAAGCAAGGTCTTGAAGAGATATCTGCACACACATGTTCACAGCAGCGTTATTTGCAATAGCTAAAAGGTAAAAAAAGCGAGCCAAGTATCCATTGATGGGTGAGTGGATGAACAAAATGTGTTATATACTCACAATGGAATATTATTCATTCTGTTTATTTATTTATTTACCTATTAATTATGCAGTTGGCCAGTATGGGAATCTGAACCCTTGACCTTGATGTTTATTCAGTTTTAAAAAGGAAAGAAATTCTGACATATGCTACAACATGGATGAACCTTGAAGACATTATGCTGAGTTAAATAAGCCAGTCACAAAAGGACTAACACTGTATGATTCCACTTACATGAGGTATTTAGAGTATTCAGAATCAGAGACAGGTAACAGTATAGTGGTTGCCAGGGGCTGGGAGTGAAGTGGGAACGAGGAGTTATTGTTTAATGAGTATAGAGTTTCAGTTTTGCAAGATGAAGGAAGTTATGGAGATGGATGGTAGTGATGGTTGTACAACATCATGAATGTATTTAATACCACAAACTATACACTTAAACATGGTTAAGATGGTAAATTATATGTTATGTGTATTTTACCACATTAAAAAAAAATTGGGAAAAATCCCCATTAAATGAAGATCTGGAAAGAAAAATGATAGTATCTGGATTTCAGAGGAATGCACCGACTCCTTATTTTTCAGTCTTTGTGCATATTATTTCCTACATTTTGATAATAAATACTGGAGAGCAAAAATTTCAAGATTAGATGCCACCAAGGTGTGCAGCCACTGCTAACCACCAGCAGAGCTGGATTATGAAATTTGAAGAGCCTAATAAGTATACACATTACACTGAAAGTCAGCGTACTTCCACAGACATGGCTAAGGGTAAACCCTATACAAAGCTATTATTTTCCTCTATTAAACAATTTTAGATCTATACCAACATAAGGAAAAACAGGCAATCAAAACCCAAAGTAGAATGTCATAGAATACAGTCATAATAATTTCAATCTGGAAAAACTATAAAGTGGCTATTATACAATGCCTCTTTGATGTTAACTTAAAAAAAAAGAATATGTACATAAGTAATATTTTCGAGAAGCATTTAGAAAAAAATGTATTGCTATACAAATTAAGTCCAAAAATCTAAAAAAATCAAAATATACAAACCACATGTATAATAAACAAAATTGCTGACTAAAAACATGATTAGGCCTATGTCATACTTTTAATTTTCATTTAAATTCGTAAAAGTATTTTTTTAAAGTACTTCACCTGATCTGCATGAATTAGCATCATAAATGCATTCCTTTTGCAACTTGCATCCTTCTCATTCACCAGAAAATCATGTATCAGTTCAGGAGCATCAGGTATAAGATGTTCAAAATTTCTTTAAATAAAACAGGTAACAGCCATATTTAATAAAAACCTACTTTCCTATTTTAGTATCTCTCTACATATAATACCAAAATGAAACTTATTCAACCTTTATAAACACTATTGTTTCTTTTGTTTTTGAAAATTTAAATCAATTAGAATTGGGAGGAGGAAACACAAGGTTATACCTTTATCTACTAAGTTATCAAACTTTATGTTTTCTAGTTCAATACAGAAAAAGCTGATTTATTCAACATGTACTTAATTGGTATCTCTAATAATTGTCTTTCATATTTTCCTTTTAATGAAAGAAAAACCCTTCATTAAGAATTATCAGAGAGAAAAATATAGTCCTTTGAATTTTATTAGTTGTGCACTGTACCTACTTATCAATACCACATCCTAACCAAATGGGCTAACCAGCCAGCCCGATACTTACTTACTTACTATGGGAATAAATAAAAATTTAAAATTTATTTAAAAATATTTTCAGTACACAGAATAATGAACACCAGCTTAATAAAAACCATCACCTAGCTCCAACAATGATTAATTATTAGCTACTTTTGTTTTACCCATACCCCTGCCCACTCCCCCTCCTCCCATATTATTTTGAAGCAAATCTCAGATAACTTACTATTTCTTCTGTAAATATATCAGTATGTTTCTCTAAAATTAAGGATTCTTTATTTTAAAAACTAATCGTAATTCTATTATCATACCTTAAAAAGTAATAATTCCTTAATATCATCATATACCCAGTGTTCAAATTTCCAATTGTCTTATAAAAGTCATAATTTTTGTGTGTGCACTCTAGCTTAAATTCTGAAATTTGTATAGTCTTTATGGTAACATTCAAAGAACTCAACTACATTACTAACAAGAATACCACTTTCCTTAAGAGATAAAATCTAATATAACGGTAAGATAACTATGAAATTATACCTCAATCAACTAATATATTAAAGTACAAAGATACTTATAAAAATTACATTCTACTTCTAAATGAATTGACACCAGTGATTGCAAAAACCAAGCATTCTAGCCTCATCTAACAGGTTCTTTGAATTGTTTTTAGAGCCCAGAATCTTCAGCCTTCTTAGAACAGGAATTAGATGATAACTGCAGCCTTTCTCATTAAAAAAGTTGTTCCTTCAAGCCTCTAGGGGTAAAAAGACCCATATTCCACAAAAAGAGAACTCTAAAACAAGGTCAAAAACTCAAAGCCATAGGGGCTACTAATCATGTCAATAAATAAATTAAGTGGCCCAGAGTAATACAATTGAGAATGATAGGCAATGTCATAAATAAGAATACATATAACCTACTTAAAGGGAGATACTGTCATTCAATTTCAGTAGATTGCTGTCAGGCAAAAACTAAGGCTCAGCATTATCAGATCTTTTGACTTTTTCAATGTTGACAACTTAATGACAGGAAAACATACTGTGCTGGCCAAACATGTCTGCAAACTTACATACAGCCTGCCAGCAATCACCATGGAACATGTTGTCTAAAAGACTAAATAGCCCTCACAGAACTAAGCCAAAGGATTATCTTTATTTACCTATAGATAGTATAGATGGCCAAAACAGCATTTCTTCTAACATAGCTGTGTCGATGCTCCAAACAAGCACGGATAGCTGGCATTAAAGGTTCTAGCAATTCGGCTTCTTTCAATTTGCAAAGAAAACGAAGAGTAGATCCTCGAATAAATTCATTAGGATGCTGGAGATCCTGACGTAAAAGTTTAAATATGAAATGTTGAGTTTCAGCTTTTTACAAAAAAAATTTTTTTTAATGTAAAACTTTGCAGTGGAAACAATGAAAGTAAGTCTGAGGAAAAAGACCTACATTATCAGACAATTTCCATCAGATTCCTGTTGATTAAAGCAATTTTTATTGATTTCATCAGTGTATTATATATTACATGTCACTAGTTTTTATTAATAACACATACACATAAAATGCATAGAAAATGTCTGAAAAAAGTAACAATATAGCTTTTTATAATAACTCTTTACAATTTGAATTCCAAATATCTACAACTTACATCTTATCAAAGATTAATTTTAAAAATTAAAACAAAGCCCATCCCACCAATTTTATACTTATTTATTTAAAATTAAAGCAATACTCAGAAATAATTATAGTTGTGTTTACCTTTCTGTATGCATCACATACAAGGATCATTTCATGTAAAAGTCTCCCATCTGGAGTTGTTTTAGGAACAATTTCCCAAAATACCAAAAGTAATTTTTTGATGGTATGATCCTGAAGGGGTAGCACAAAACGAATGATGGTCATCAGAAGTCCAGGAAGTTTTTCACCATTCAGAATCATAATAATTACTTTCTTCAAAGCTTCAGTCTTTGACTTCACATCTCCTTTTTCTGATTCAGAAAAAAACAAAACAAACAAAAAAACCCACAATTATTTCAAAAGAAAATTCCCTGGATAATTTTAGCAATTTATCAAAATAAAATGTACTTTCTTACTTCATTTATTATTGGCAATGGTAATAAAGGTACAAACCCTAGTGACAAGGGTTCTCCACCTGGCTCTGCCACAAACAAGCTGTATGTCTCTGTACAAGTCATTTATCTGAACCTCCGACTCTTTACATATAACATAAAGGCACTGGATTAGATTTCTGGTCTGTAACCAATTAAGTTGATGCAGATTTCATGAATCTACAGGTATACAACGTAACAATGTGTTTCAAACACACATGTAGCTATTTTTCAAAATGTAAATAGATGCTCTTAGGATAAGTGCTTCTGAATTAGAAATAGCTTAGCTATTTTGTGTACATTTTCTCAAAGTTACAATCACTCTTACAGGGGTGGAATATGTGACATTTTTTAACATTAGAAGGAAGGCCCTCATTCTAAAAATGGTTGGAAACTAGAGTAGATTAATTCCGAAATCTCATCATATGAGGGTACCTCAAAAAGTTCATGGAAAAATGGAAATAAAAGACAATATGAATCCTTCCATGAACTTTTTGAAGTACTCTCATATAAAAGTTTAGAATCTTTTCTAAGATATCATCTGAAAAACTAAAAGAAAATTAAAATGTTCTAAATTAGTAGCCATTGTTTAGAATGAAAGATGACACAATTAAGATAAAATTCTAGTTTACTGTTAGCCTAAAAACTATGCAATATAAAGTATTTTATGCAAAACAACCTATAATTACACATCATTATCATTGCATACTGACAAATTTATGGTACTATACATCTTTTGAATACAAAGTTCAAAGGCAGAAATATGAGACAAGCACATTCTAATACAATTGTTTAGATAATTAAATAAATATCTGGGGGAGGGGAGAAAAAAAGGATGACAAGTGTTCAATAATTTTAGGGCTATCATAAGGAATAGAACTAAAACTAATGGGTAGAAGTTACAAGGAAGCAGATTTGGCTTTAAATATGAGAAATACATATCTAACAATTAGAGTTAATTGGCTATTAAAGAGTTCCCTGTAGTAAAAGAGACAGAGACTGTACATGACCATTTGGCAGGGATACACGGAAGGATTTAAACTTCAGAAGAAATGAACTAGGAAATCAAAAGCCTTTCTAGCCCCCAAAGGGTTATCTATTATTACTACGGTAGTGTGATATTTTCACATGTTGCAGAACAGAGAACACCATCAGGTATTTGAACTGAGAACACAGTTGAGTTTTTGTCAAATTTATCCCACAAGAGTCAATATTTTTGTTTAAAACAGACTAAGCTATTCTCATGCATCTTTTGCTGCTTCAGAGTTTTCTATCTCCTGCCACATATGAAAAAAATTGGTGTGTGCCATATTAAATCAAGAAACGTGCAAACGTAAAAGGATAAAGTGAGTATCAACTGGGCAAACCTTCAGGTTTTTAAGTAAGTCTATGAGGATGACAAAAACAAAGCATCAGGAGAAAAGACAGTAGTTAATAGCAGTAACTACAAAAATAAGCCAGAATAGGCAAAATTCTAGATGGCTAAAGTTATTTTCAAGGAGCCTGAACAGGTTTTCCCTCTTTTGCTCAAAAGCTCTCCTTCCAAATTGAAAAAATACTTTCTTTTTTCCCCTAATCTGTTTGATAGCATAAAGGACACAAAGACCAAAAGGCATAAAATTGTATTACTATAATCCCGATGGCTTCTTTGGCTTCAGTTTTTGTCTATTTTTCACAAATCAGTAAATTCCTAAAAGTTCAGCAAAATAGAACTTCGCTTGTAACAGAAGTTTAAAAAGTTTAATAGCAAATTTGTAAAAAATCTATACCATTCCTATTTTAAGCCCCTTCCCTCCCCCAATTTCCATTTATTCCAACAATCCAAATTGAGGTGAAGGAAGGATGTTTCTCTCCACATCTTCAAAATTTTCAGAACACTTTTCCTCTATGAACACCACAGAAAATATAGAAAATTTCAAATATCAGTTCAATTCACCAAAATATATTAAGTACCTGCTACTCCAGGGAACTTACAGTCATCAGAATTCAGATCCAATGTTAAGATTAAAAAGGTAAATTGTTAAAGCAACTCAGTATTTAACCAAACAAAAAAGCATTTGTTACTCAAAATTGGAATCGAGTTCTAAACTTTTTTCTCAACTCTTCTTAAAGGCAAAAATATACACAAAATTGGAGACCACTTATTTATTAAATGGTTGGAGGAGGGTAGTTAAGGCAGCTGCAATTAAACAAGGGAACTGGGTTTTTTTTTGTTTTGTTTTTTTTAAAGATGACCGGTAAGGGGATCTTAACCCTTGACTTGGTGTTGTCAGCACCATGCTCTCTGAAGTGAGCTAACTGGCCATGTTATCAGCACTGCACTCTCCCAAGTGAGCCACCGGCCGGCCCTAGGGAACTGTTTCAATTAAGGATAGGTTTTGTCCTTTACCTTCCCAACTATAACCTTAAGTATTTGGGGGAATAATGAAAACTTTTAAATTATGAAAAAAAAAAGTAATGAAAGTATATTCACTAATTTACATTCCATTCAACTATCTTACAGAAATATGAAGAAAAAGAAAATACTGTGGTTTTTGCATATTATGGTATCAGTTTGAATGTCATAAAAGAGGGTTTCTTTCCTTTTCTCTAAAAATATATCTCAGGCTGGCCGGTTAGCTCAATTGGTTAAAGCATGGTGCTGATAACACAAAGTATGTGGTGCAATCCCTATACCAGCCAGCGCTAAAACAAACAAACGAAAAAAGATCTCAATAGAAATCTACTGTTAAGTAACCTAAAATCAGTAAGTATTCCACTACTGCTGATTAAGAGGTAGGAATAAAATACTGTCACTTTTCAAATGGCAAACTGCCTTCTAAAAGATACTTTCAATATTTAAAGCATAATTTCCACTGTTTAAAACAGTTATTTATCAGTTTGTTATACTTATTTTTAGCAGTTCAATCAAACGAGTCATTACTTTTGAAAGTGTATTATTTAAAAAATATTTTTTTGACAAAATCACTCACTAAAAGGAGATACTGTATACACTAATTCAGAAATATACTTTTTGTTTTCTTCTTTGCAAAAATACTTCATTTATTTATTTTTGCCAAAATAATTTTAAAATGAAAAGCTTAAGCCTTTCAGGAAAATACATGTTTATTCTATTGATGACCTAATTTGTTTAGGTGGGGAACACAAAGAACCGAGTTCTTTCGGTTTTACAAAGTAATATGTTATTAAGTGTACAAAGGAACTGAGATATTCCAATACACATTCTCAACCTGTCACCTACAGAGAAATGCCAGCTACATTTAAGTATAATATATTGAACTGCACAAGCAATTATGTTATTCTGAGCAATATTCAACAACTAAACTACTACATTTCTTTAGCTTTACTAAACTAAACAGATGTTATATTTCCAGAAACTGATACTGCAAGCCTAAAGGTAACAAATTTTCATTTTAAATAAGACAAAAGGTCTACTGAAGAGATCCTAGAAAAAAATATTTAGACAAAAATTAAGCGTTTCTAATTATAAAGGAACATGAAATGTAAATGAGATTTTTTTCATTTTTTCCCCTTATTTTCATTTCATTCTTAAAATATTATCAAAGTTTACCTAGGTCATTTTTTAAGCTAATTTCAGATGGTGGTTCTGAATCCATTGGCACGTTAATTAACGTGTAGCACACGTTCTCAGCAGCCGTCATGGTTTCCGGTTATAATCAAGCCTCAATACAAGACTTCAGAATGATAGATGCCAGAAAATCTAGAAAAACAAATACAGAGATATCATTACAAGTTTTAAAAAAACCCACAAACCAGTAACTATAGTGATCTTTATTTTCTGAAGTTCATTCAGTTTGGCTTATGGGTTTTAAAATATTTGAAAGAGTGAGTCAATCTATATTGTGTTCCCATAAAAATAAACTCATAAAAAATACACTTCTCAGCCCCAGCCTAAGGTATATTATCTTTCACTCCCTTCTTCCTCCCCAATCCCCCGCCCAGGGTTTGAGAATGTTGTACAGCAGAATTAAGGCCCACAAAACAGTGACAGTCCCCCAGCCCCACCCCACGTTTTAGAACAGTGATTTTTAACACACACACAATCTAAACTGCTAAAGTGAAGAGACCCTGGTGCATGAATACTCTGTCAAAATCTTAAAAGCTCTTTATTGCCGTCATCGGTCGGTCCCAACTCTGCGTCCGTGGCGCACCGTAGCCCTACCTCACCGCACCCATTTCTCCCTCCCCTTCCTCCAGCAAAGCAGCCCCCGGCTTCAAAGGCCGAGCCCCGGGGTCTTGGGAGGGAAAAGACCCTGGCCATTACGCAGGCCTGGATGGGGCGTCCCGCCCAGAGCTTCCCAGACCCCCACCCCCATCCATTCCCCTTTTCTAGGCCCAGACGCAAGCGGCCTAGCAGCTCCCGTTCCGCATCTTCCTCCTAGAAAGCCAGTTCCTCCGATTCTGCTCGGCCCACCACGCCTGCAAGATTTCCGTCTCATGGTCCGCTACCTGGCTCCGAGGGGCAGCGGTTGGGACAACCGCGGGACCCTCCGCTCCAGCTCCAACCCGCAGCAGCAGCAGCAGCAGCAGCAGCACCTCAGAGTCCGTGGCTGACGTGGAAGGGGGTGGGGAGAGAACCGAGGCTACAGCCACCTAGCTCTACGGCGACTCAGAGAGGACATCATTTCTCCGTCCTGCTGTTGCGCGCCGCAAGTATGTGCTATTTTCTTCCTTTTCACTCGTCCCCAGTTGGTTTAAACCGCACAGCACAGTGGAAGCGCGTATATGTTGTTTTCCCTGCAAGCCAAGCGCTGAGTTAAGCGCTATGCTCACTTAAAAGCTGCTTGGAAATTGTTCCTTCTTTCAGGAACTAAAACAGTCAAGGGGAGGAAGCGCTTGGAGAGCGGAGAAGCATTGTTACAGGGCAATGTGTGGCCCAGTGGAAAAGAGTGCTGGACTGGGAACTGGAAGCCCAGGAAGTTTTTGCTCACGTACTGATAAATTGGGAAAGCAATTACTATTGGAAAATAATTTCGGTTCTTTCAGTAAGGGCCACTGGATTATATGAAGACCCATTTCAGTTTTTAACATCTCTAGTGGTCTGAATCTGCCTCTTTGCAGTTGGGCTAGAGTTGCTTGAACATAGAAAGTCTCATTGGCATAATTTCTGCTCTTTATTTAGTAATGGCTTCTTTTGTGATCCTTCCGGAGTACTCAGTAGATTAAAATTTTTTATGCATAAAGGGGAACAGTCACTGTTTTAAAGGACTTCACCTATCACTAAAGACATACTTGCTACAGCTATAATCAGCCATAGCACCTTCGGTTTTGCCCACTTGAGGTTCCATATCCCGAGACTCCCACTCCACAACCCACCCCCCAACAAAGGTTTCCTGGCTGATTATTAATAACATTTGAAGGCTTAATCAAAATATTGTGGATACAAAGATGTCTGACAGAACCTTCCCTTATTAACAGGTTCACCTCAGGGAGCTAAAACACAGTACCTCATCTCTGTAGAATCCAGCTATTTTGAGATTTCTTTGTTTTGGAACCATCAAGCAAAAACCAAATTATTCAAGCATCCAAAATATATCACAAAGGCCGTGTGTTTACAGCTCTTTAATTATAAGACTGCCCTGTCTGATCCTGTGCATTCATTTTTTAAAAACTTTTTATCTTGAGATAATTGTAGAGGGATATGAATAGAGATCCCATATACTCTTCAACCAATTTCTACCAATGGTAACATGTCACATAAAGTACTTATTTGTGTATTTAGTTCTAGACAATTTTTATCATGTTTAGATTTGTGTAATCAACATTAGTCATGATACAGAACAGTTCCATGACAAGGATCCCTCTTGCTATCTTCTATAGCCACAGCCACCTCCCTCCCTAACCCCTAGCAACCACCAGTCTGTCCCCTATCTCTATAATTTTGTCATTTCAATGATGTTATATAAATGGAATTATACAATGTAATTTTTTGAGATCAGCCTTTTTTACTCAGCAGAGTTCCTCTGAGGTCAATCCAAGATGTATGTACAAGTTTGTTCCTTTTCTCTGTATTCATTTTTAATATGGAATTTTTACAAATGCAGTTATCTGTTTTCTAAGTTCACTTGACTTATTAAGAAACGATAATCTGTCAGCATGAAGTGAGCCCAAAAAAGGTATAAAAACTAGATTTAGCATTAAGAAAGCTCAGCAGTTTAGGGCCACTATGGTATAGGACTAACACTTCAGCTGCCCTAGAGGTTCATTGTTATAAACTTTGAGGTTTATTTAGGACCCATTAAGAAAACAAAGTCATTAAGAGTACTATTAAATATGAAAATAAGGCAAGAAAAAGTAGTATGTTTTACAAAACCTCATTTTAGATCTGCACCTAAAACTGTCATTGTTACATATTCTTTAATAAAGAGCTTCTTGAACAGATACCAAGATGTTACATAGCCTCACCAATTCTTCCTGACCTGTTAGAAAATGCACTTTATATTTTGGAACAAAATTTTACTGTAGCATGTAATTATATTATTTTTGAATGCTTTTTAAATCAAATTATTTGAGAGCAAGGGCTTTGTCATATGTCAAGAATCATAAAAATTTAGATGTCTAGGAAATCAAGGCCTAGAGAAAAGAGAATTGGCCAAAATGGTCAAACGCTAGGAGGTAGGATTAGAACCTGAATCTGGACAACCACTTTACTGCCTTTTATTTTTAATCATGTCAGTTATTCAGAACTGCAGATAGATGTTCAAAAATTCCAGGTGAATTGAGTATTATCTTTGTATCAAAGTGATAGGCCTTATAAGACATTATTAGGAATTTTACTGTTTATAATCATTCAACAGACTAAGTGGAATAACTGAGTACTAGACAAAACATTAAAGGACATCCTAATGAACTCTGTCCATACAGTGGAGTTGAGTTTTATGGGAATGGGATGATTTTTTCTGAAGTCAGTGTATAAGATTAAAATCACATATTGAAAAAATTACTTAAATTACCCCCAAAGTACAATACAGATCACTGTTTTTTCCAGCGGAGTACTAGCCAACTAGTTGGCTTGTATTTAGGGGATAGGTAAAAATATGTATCACGTAATATTTTTTTTTGTTTTTTGGCGGCTAGCCAGTGCGAGTCTCTCTCTCACTGTTTATAGTGTGTGTGTATGTGTGTGAAAGTTACATGTGCTTGATGCAACTCCACTGTAGGTCAAATGGTACTTGTGGCCTACTCCCAAACTTAAATTTAGGCAGATTCTAGAGGCTACACCTGGAGTAGAGACTGCCATCTCATACATTCCTGTACTTAGTCAGAGGTCTTTCCCTCAGCAAGGCTGCCAGTTTCCTATACCCCTCCATTCAAGAAGTTACAGAGATTTAAACCTACTAAGGCTTTTTAAGTTGGAGAAACCTGGGGGAAAAAAGCCAAACTAATATTTTATAAATTTTAGAGTTTACAAGCTGTTATCACATGAATTCTCCCATTTAACCCTCAAAAGGGCTGGCCTGTTAGCTCAGTTGGTTAGAGCACAGTACTGATAACACCAAGGTCAAGGGTTTGGATCCCCCTACTGGACAGCTGGCAAAAAAAAAAAAAAAGAAATTCTATATAGGGTTTCCTTGAAATAGGGCTAAGTAACTTGCCCAAAGCCAATAGCAGCTAATTAATAGAATTAGTTCTAAAATCTGGGTCTAATATCTATAAATGAACTTCTCTTCTCTAGAAAGATGTACTATCTCAGAAAATTAACTCCTTTAGGCTTCATAGCAGCAAAATTTTGTACTATGGTTTTAAGATGTACTATCTCAGAAAATTAACTCCTTTAGGCTTCATAGCAGCAAAATTTTGTACTATAGTTTCTTTTTTCAAATCAGATTGCCTCTAATTTCATTTTGCATGGTCTAAGATGAAAATCATTCTGCAATATCTGAGTACACAGTTAATGGGAATAATGGAAGACAGCCTAAGGGTTATGCTGGAGTGGGGCTGGGGAAGATAAGTTTGGGATTAAAATTTCCCTTTTGTTATTTTTGCAAAAGTTATCTACAGAGACCAGAGCCATAACTGCTTCCATCTGTTAGTTAGAAAGAACCATTCATATATTAATAATCTTGCTACTTTTGTTGGAAAATGGTGGTTTCTTATATTTTAATCAGAATCTCCAGGGTTGAACCCTGAAATCTGTATTCTGAACTAAACCTCCATGGATTCTCATGCAGCCAGTCCATACACTGAAGAATTGTTATAAGGCTATGATAGATAGGAGGTATTATTTTTCACCATCACTAAACAAGGCAATTTAATTTGACAAACATGGCAAATGACCATTGTAATCCCAGACTACTATTTATAGTTGAAGCTACTTAAAACAACAAAAACCAATACACAGCAGGTGAAACTATTTTATTTCACAATTGCCTTTAAAACTGCAAAGACACTATTTTCTTCATATAAAAACATTAGTACAGATACCTATACTTTCTAGAAAATGATTTTATAGATGCCCTCAAAGAAAAATGTACCCCATTATATGATTTCAGTGAGGTTGCTTGGAAAAAACATCTGATTCCTGAAACATACCATTCCACCCTTTTGCATCTTTTGGTTCAAAGTAAAGATTATTGTTATCAGTATGCATTCCTGCATTCTTACATATTTGATAATACACATATACACTGGTTTATCATTTAATGCTCCATTGGTTCATCAGCCTTTTCTGCAGGTTCATCAGCAGGTTGAGCAGGCTTAAGAGGGGAAGAAAATAGAAAATAGGTAATCAATATACACTACTATTCACAAATATTACGTTATAAAAAAATTAAGGAGAAAAATGGGTTAGGAGGTAAGATATTTTGGATACTCAATTTTAGTTCACTGTCCTGTTAAAATTTCTGAAGAAAGGTTTTTTTTTTTTTAAATATGTATAATTTCACAGTTCTAAAAACCTAATCATCACTGATCAATTTTACCATTTTATCATACATTTGTCTTGCTCAAGAGTAAAAGCCTTCTTTACACTGTCATTATTAATCTTAAAATACCATTGGTACTTTTTAGACGTTCTTTTCCCCTTTACCATCAATAAACACAGCAAAAATACATTCAAAAAAACCAGCTTACCCAACAGCAGTTTAAAAATGGAAACCTTGCTCCCCAAATACTACCAATACCCTCTTCAAGTTGGAAAAAAATTCATACTATAGAAGAAATATCTGTACCAGACACTTTATTTTCAATTACATAGCTATCAATTAGTCATCTATAAATGGCAAATATAGTTTCCAAATATCCAGCAAAAAGACTCATTTAACCTGAGATTCACCAACACTTTTTGAGGGTTTTTTTTTTTTTTTTTTTTTTTTTTTTTACTATTTGTAAAGAGCCAATTTAGTGTCCAAAGCTGGCCCCCAATGAACCACTTCTCCCAGTCCCCATTCACATAGAATCTGGGGTGGCCCTGTGACTCACTTTAACCAACAGAAAGTACAAAAGTGATGTTGTGCCAGTCCTGGGTCTCAGCCTTAAAAATGCCCGGCAGCTTTCACTTTAGAGCTTTTGCAAGCTCTGAGGTGCCACCATGCTAACGACCCTATTGAAGAAGAGGCCCTGACACTACTCTGGTAGGATGACAAGCCGTCTAGTTGCCCCAGTAAGACACCTACAAGGTATGAATAAAGAAGATACATGAGTAAAGTCATTTTGGATGTTCCAGCCCCACCCTACATCTGACTGCAATGTTTAAGAGACCCCCAAGTGAGATAAGCAAAAAACCATCTAGCTGAGTCCCAGTTGGCCCACAGAATTGTGAGATATAATGTTTGTTGTTTTAAATATTTAAGTTTTGGGGGAGCTTATTACGTATCAATAGGTATCCAAATCAACTCCTCTCCCTTTTTGAGTTTATGGAGATCACTGCCCTCTCAATATTTTACTTTGCTCTGTTCTTAATTTTCCTATTGCCATTTGAATTATGGGCCTATCTCAATAATTAAAGACAAAAATATATTTACACAGTTGCTGTAGGAACAGCAGCTTAAGATATAACTAAAGCCTCTTGTGTTATAACTAGTTATATACCTGTGACTTTCTCTGTGGTCTTTCTTCAAGACCTTCCAGAAATGGAGACACATCATCATCATCGTAGATCGTAAACTCCAAGTCTTTACCAACAATTCCAATGGAAACATTCTGGGGGGAAAAAGGCAAAAATACAAAATCAAGAAAATTTAGGTTGGAAAAATACTTATGATAAAATGTTGGGTAAAAAAAGCAGAATAAGAATGTATGCAGCACTTGAATGAAACTTTAAAAACTACTTATATGTAGGGGAAAAAGGGAGTAGGATACTAGTAGACCCTTGTTATTTGCAGATTTAATATTCACTTTTGATTATCATGAGTAACCCCAAAGGTGTATGTCATCTAGCAACATTTTGTTTTAAAAAGATTATGCAACCTATAAAGTCTCCACAGAGATATTAAATAATAATTATACAATCACTATAATAAAAATGGCTTTAATGCTGACTAATTTCACTTTAATTAACCTCAAGTAGGCCTTAGTTATTCCTGGATTGTACCATAAATGGTCCCTCCCTCCATCATTCAATCTCCCTTTGTCTTGGACAACTCCATATAATGTTTGCCATTGCAGCTGAAAATATTGTTATTTTATCGAGAAAATAGAAGCAACTGGAAGAGAACTTTCACAAACTTCCACTGTATTCACTCTTTCCTGTATCTATGTCCCTTGATTCTCTCTCTTCCCATGACTATGAATGAATAATCCAATTTCCTCTCTAAGGCTCTTCCACCTATATACTGTTAAAAAAACATTGCTCTAGCAGTTTTTCTCATATTTCTCCTACATAATGCTTCCTTTACACTGGGTTATTTCCATAACCATGCAGCAAATATGATGTAATTTCTCCCATCTTAAAAAAACACAACAAAAACCCCTTACTACATCCTCTTCCAGCCATACTCCATTCCTCTGGACCCTCAAAAAAAATCTCCAAAGAGCCATCTCCAGTTCCTCTTCTCCCATTCTCTCCTAATCCCATTCCTATCAGGCTTCTGCCCCAGCATTCCATTAAGACCATTTTGTCAAGCAAGTCTTCAGTGACATCATTGCTAATATAATGGTTAATTCTCAATCTACACCTTCCTTGATTTATTATTAATTTCATTCCCTTCTCCTTGAAAGTTTCTTCACTTGCTTTGAAGAATGCCTCATTTTCCAAGTTCTCCTACCTCTCTGGCCATCTTTCTCAGCCTCTTTTGCTGATATCTACTCATCTCCCAATCTCTAAAGATTAGAGTGTCCTTGGACCAGTCTTCAGATTGCTTGTCTAACTTCACTTGCTTTGAAGAATGCCTCATTTTCCAAGTTCTCCTACCTCTCTGGCCATCTTTCTTAGCCTCTTTTGCTGATATCTACTCATCTCCCAATCTCTAAAGATTAGAGTGTCCTTGGACCAGTCTTCAGATTGCTTGTCTATTTGATTCTTTTAGAAGTTTAATCTAGTCCAATCTCTAAATGCCATCTCTACATAAAAACTAGAATTTTTAACTCTAGGCTGGACCATTCTCCATGGAAATCCAGGGGGTGCTGATAACTGCTTACTCTGTGTCACCAATTGGACAAAAAAAAGGCATTTCAAATTTTACATGTCCAAAATTGGCTGCCTAATCTTCTTCCCCAACCCTAACCCCAAACATGTTTCTCCCACTGTCTTATCCATCTCAGTAAATCATAAATCTTTCTTTCCAGTTAATCAGGCCAAAAATATTGGCAACATTCCTCCCCCACCTAACAATAAATTGGTTAGCAAACCTTTTTGGCTCTAATTTCAAAGCACATCTGAAACTGAACCACTTTTCATCATCTCTATTACTCTGCTCCAATCACCATCATCTCTCACCTGAATTACTGTAACAGCCTTAAAACTACTTCCCCCCACTACTCTGTTGTCAAAATGACAACCAGAGTGAGTGCCTCAAAACCTAAACCAAATTACACCCTCTGCTAAAATTCTTACAGCCTACTCAAAGTAAAATGCAAAGTACCTACAATGGCTTATAGAACATACACAATCTGGCCTTCATTACCTCTCTGAATTCTTTCCTTCTGCTCTTCCTCTTGGACCACTAACTCCAACACTACTGGCCCCCTTGCCTTGAATGCCAGGAATATTCTGACTGCAGGACATTTGCACTTGTATTCTCTGGAATAATCTTGTTCTAGACATCTGCATGGCTCAGACTCACCTCCTTTATATCTCTTCCTCAAATTTCACTTTTTTAGTGAGCCCATCCTTGACCACCATATTTTAAATTACACCTACCACACTACTCACCTATACCCAATTAGTCATTCTTTCTTCTCTTAACCTGTTTTACCTTTTTCTATAGCATTTATCACCTTCTAATACACTATATAATTTACTTATGTGTATATTGTCTGTCTCCCTCCACCAGAATGTATGTTCCATGAAGGCCAAAATGTTTGTTGTTGTGTATACTATATTCTCAATGCCTAGAAAGTACCCGCACATGGTAGGTGCTCAATATATACATATTTAACTAAATAAATAATACAAAAACATGCCATTTTGCTGAAAGAAAGAAAAAAAGGACATTCTACATCAGACTTACTGGTTTTATTGCTTTATACCAAAAAGAAATTGTTTAAAAAATGACACTTCAAAATCAGATCACTTACTGAATAGCTTAAAAGGAAAGAATGAGCCAAAGTAACCATCTCCCAAATTAACGAATATAGTATATACTCCTCTACTACTTACATTTATCCAATAAAGGATTAAACTGTAATGTTGATATTTACAATTGGAAAATATGATATTTACCTTTGTAGTTAGGTCTTGCTCTGCAGGAAGTGTCTCCCTTAAGGCACGCAGACCATGCTTAACCAGTTCATTCAAATTACCTATATGTAATAAATTAACAATTATTTCTTAATTTCATTTTCATGCTAGGCTCTTTTTATTTATCATGTCTACAGTCTGAAATCATGGTCTTAGATACACACTAAACTTATCACAGTAAAAACAGTCAAAAGTTTAATGCTAGTCATATAATTTAATATCAATAATATTGCTGACTATTATTTTATTAAATGAGGACACATGATTTTGTCACTAAATTTGACCTTTTCCTTTCCTAGTTTAAAATAAAAAAGACTGATTCACAAATGATACAATTCAAAGTTTTGTAGAAGGTGTTATATGGAATGCCAGTCCCTGTGTACGCTCTTTATAAAAGGAGTGTCCAATTCATTCTTCGTGGCCAGTATTACCCTGATATCAAAACCAAAGATATCACAAAAAGAGAAAACTACAGACCAATATCCCTTATGAATAGACACAAAAAGCCTGAACGAAATTCTACAATACTACAAACTGAATCCAGCAACATACACATACATATAAAAAGGACTGTATAACTGATACGGGTTGAACATGTGTCCCCTGAGAGGCTCGTGTGGAAGACTGATACCCAGTGTGGCAGTATTGAAAGGTGGGGCCTTTACAAGGTGATTGGATCATGAGAACTATGCTCTTATGAATGGATTAACTCATTAAATGGAGTAATGGTGATAGAGTTTCAATATATTGTCCTCCCAGAATACATGTGGAAATTTGATTCCCAATGTGGCAGTGCTGGAAGATATTTGAGTTATGGGGGTAGATACCTCATGAATGGATTAATGCTCTCCCTGGGAGGGGGGGGCACTAGTGAGTTCTTGCTCTATTAGTTCCCGTGAGAGCTGGTTGTTTAAAAGACTCTGTAACCTTCTCTTTGTCTCTCTTGCTTCCTCTTGCCATGTGATCTGTTTGTACCCACCAGCTGCCTGCTGATTTCCACCATGAGTGGAAGCACCCTGAGGCCCATGCCAGATAAAGCTGTCCCAGAATTATAAGCCAAATAAACCTCTGTTCCTTATAAATTACCCAGTCTCAGGTATTCTGTTATAGCAACACAAAATGGACTAATACAAATGGGTTAATGGTTTAATGAGTTATCATTGGTGTGGACTGGTGGCTTTATAAGGAGAGCAAGTGAGCACATTAACAAGCGCCCTCTGTCGTTCTTGCCATTCCCACAATGTGATACCCTGCATCCCCATGGGACTCTGTAGAGAGTTCCCACCAAGAAGAAGGCCCTCACTAGATGTGCCCCCAGGATCTTGGACTTCTCAGCCTTCAAAACTTTAAGAAATAAATTTCATTTCTTTATAAATTACCAGTTTCAGGTATTCTGTCATCAAGACAGAAAACTGACTAATACAATGACCAAGGGGAATTTATCCCAGAAATGCAAAATTGGTTTAACATCTAAAAGTCAATTAACATAACATGCCACATTAATAGAATGAAGGGAAAAAAATCCACATAATCACCTCAATAGATGTATAAAAAGCGTGTGATAAAACCTAAAACCTTACATGACAAAAATACTCAAACTATTAATTAATCGAAGGGAACCTCCTCAATCTGATAAAGGGCATCTACAAAAAACTCATAGCTAACATCATACTTAATAGTGAATGACTAAAAGCTTTGCTCTTAAGATCAGGAACAAAAAGGATGCCTGCTCTTACCACTTTCATTTATCACTGTACCAGAGGTTCTACCCAGGGCAATGAGGTAAGAAAAAGAAGTAAAAGGCATCCAGATTGGAAAGGAAGAAGTAAAACTATCTCTATTCCCAGAACACATGATCTTAGATCTAAAAAACTACTCAAACTAATAAATGAGTTTGGCAAGATTTCAGGATACAAGATCAGTATACAAAAATCCATTGTATTTCTATACACAATTGCAATGAATAATCCACATATGAAATTAAGAAAATTATTCTGTTCCCAACAGCACCAAAAAGAATAAAATACTTAGGAATAAATTTAACAGAATAAAAGACTTGTATATTGAAAACTACAAAACATTGTTGAAAGAAATTAAAGAAGACCTAAATAAGTGAAAAACATCCCATGTTAATGGATCAGAAGACATGAATTATTAAAGTAACAATACTCCCCCAAATGATCTATGGATTCAATGTGATCCTTATTAATTTCCAGAACCCTGAGTTTCTGAGGAGTTTCTCTAGGCAGAAATATCATATTCATGTTGCTGCAAGTGTGCTCTGTGACCCCTTATGGGAGGGATTCCTCTGGACTCTGTCTTTCTACATATCTTTACTATATTGCTATAAGTTATAGGCTGAGTCCTATGAATCCTAGCAAATCTCTGAATGTAGAGGTGATCTTGGGGACCACCAGCCCAATTATCATAATTTAAAATGTTAAACTTTAATCCAGCATTTCCTAAGCTTATCTGGCCATTGAATCCCCTTTTCCCAAAGTTAAACCTACTATCATTCTACAACATAATTTGCTTTCAGTAATATTAATAAGACAATTAGTTTTCTCTGCATTCACTCAGTCCAAATATTTCCTCCACAGACTGCTATAATGTCACAAGAAAATAGATAAGCAACAAAGCAAAATGTTAAAACCCTGATACTAATCTTCCTTCCAATGTGAAGCAAAGCACTGGAAACCTGCCCTCTCATCACATCTTATATCTTTTACCTTTCTTTCCCACAGCTACATTGCCTTTTTACTTGTTTATGAACTACTTAATGCAGAAATGTCTATGTGGCTTAAAATAAGAACAGAATTTCAGGAAACTAAGAGTTGTAAACAGAACTTAGAATTGGCAGTGTCAATGGTTCTCAACTCTGGCTGCGTCATACTTCAGATCAAATGAATCAAGTATTTTTAAGATTGGGATACACTTTTATATTTTGAAAAAGTTCTACTGGTGATTGAAACTACTGTGGTAACAAAAGGGATAAAAACTAGTATGTGTGACAGAAACAATAAACATTTCATTGGCTTAATTTAAAAACAAACAAAAAAAAACATACAAATCCTCCTTCCAATAAAGGCTGATAGTTTTCTTCATGTAGGATACTATGTTTATTCACTATATAAAGACTAGAAAAGGCAAAAAAGAAAAAAAAGGCTATCACTTACAATCCATAAACTCAGCCATATGTCTCTCCAAGTAAGTACGAGCTGACTGAGAACGGGCTCCAATAGACATAGCTCTGCAGTCAAAATAGTTAGCAGATGGACAGGTTTGGAAAATGTGAGGGCCCATATCCTATTAAAAAAAAAAAAACACCACATAATTCTTGACTTCGGCTGAGTTAAAAACTACAAAAATTTCTAGTTAGTTTTTACAAATCATTAAAATATAACAATACACTTTTAACTTACATCATAGCCAGCAATAAGCAGCCCGACACCATACGGTCGCCGGCCATATCGCTGTGTTGGTATCTGGGTCTCTTAAACTAGTTAAAGAGCTTGTTCTACCAACGAATAAAGTGTTATATTTATTTTCAAATTAAACATTATTAACAAAGACCACTGTCTTCTTCCTGAATTGTTGCATAATCCACCACAGAAAGAAGAAAATAAAAAGTGAATTTCTTTGGCCTAATATTACAAAATGTTTGACTTTCCACAAAACCCCAGAATGAGTGCTAGCAAAATGATCTCTTTCCATGTAGAACCTCATTTATTTTTATTTATTTATTTAATTACATACATATAAGAAAACCGGAAAGGTAAGAAAGTCATGGCCACAGGACGCATTTTTGTGCCAAACTTGGAGCCACATGGGGTTTTTTTAAAAAAAGACAAAAGCAGTCCTTAGCTGTAGAAAATCTTTGTCTCAGAGCACTTACAGAATATGAAAAAAAGCTGAGCAAGGGAAAAAGAACAATTTCTCTTCTCTCATCCTTCCCACTTTCAGAAACAGTTTATCTTAATTCTAGGTCTTGAACCAGCAAAAAGAGTACCTACTTTACTTTTTTTCTTGAAAGCAGACTAAAGTTTCCCCAACAGAGCAATTGCAAGAAACAATCCACAGCAGAGGACATCTTTACATGTTCCTGCCAATGTTACTTCTATTTATAAGCAGGAGCCTAGAGGAAATACTAAACACTAGACTGCTGAGTGTTACTGTTAAACCTGACAAGATTCAAGCAAGGTTAACATTAGGTAAAAGGGAATTCATTTCTTATTTCACGGGGTGGTTCTCCTTTCTTTCCACATTGCTTCATCCAGTGTATGTGTATATCACATCTGATGATCAAATGTTTACTGCAGGAACCAAACTATTTGTTCAGTACTTTTATTTAAATCCATTTTCCACAGCTGTCTAAAACTGCACTGCACAGGATGGCATGCACTGATCACATGTTGCTACTGAACACTTGAAAAGTAGCCAGACTGAATTGAGATGTACTGTAACAGTGAAATACACACCAAAGTTCAAAGACTTAATACCAAAAAAAGGTACAATATCTCATTAATAAAGTCTTATACTGATTATGTTGGCATGGTACTATTTTAGACAGATTGGGTTAAATAAAATGTTTCACAATATAACATATTTAACATTTTTAAGAGCAAACACAAACCCATAATGCTATCACTACAGTGCTGACTTAAATGATCAAGGGACTGGCTAGATACCCTGAAAATCTTAAACAATGGCATTACTATTTACCCTGACTGTTTATATTCTTTCTTCCCTAATCAAATCACAAACTTAAGATATTAGTTTTGGCCCACCCCCAAAACACACACACACACACACACACACTACCTGAAAGGCACTGTGTTAAGTGCTCTACAGGTTAGTCTATTTAACAATAACCTTGAAAAAGTAAATATGGTAAAAAATCAAGAGTTTTGTAATTAGCCCAATCTCAGATACTAAGTGGTGAAGGTGAGAACTCAATCTGTGTGATATCAAAGCCCCACTTCTTCATTTACATATTGTCTCTCAACCAGAAATAATCTTTCTCTCTTCTGGACTCTCACAGAAATTTACATGTTACTCTTCACTTTCTACCTTGTGTTATAGATAAACTGGATTTTAAGTTCCTTGAAGACAAGATCCATTTCTGAGTCACCTTTGTATACCTCACAGTATCCACTATTAAGCTTTGCCAAAAATAAATGTCTAATAAATACTGATGTATTAAAGAAAGCAAGGCTAATTCGGTTCATTCTTAGAAACCAGACATAAGTGTCAAGCTCTTTTTAGATATAACAGGGTCTCAAACAATATACACTGAGTTAACAAGTATCAGTGACTTCTTAAAGTGTTAATACTAGTATGTTTAATTCTATTAATTACTACTACAGGAATCATTTTTTTGGAATACTTAGTAACTAACTCAAACCCACTAAGGTATTCACGAACTTCAATTATATGTATTCTGGCAGATAATTTCCTAAAATATCTTATCTGCATCTTTTCTAGAAAGGTAAAATAATCAATTATGAATCAAAAAGGGTATTTCCTTTATTTTACATAATCATACTCACCATAACAGTCTAGCATCAGCAGTAAGTCCTGCAATTGAGATACCAATATGGTTGTCAACATGGAGAATTTTTTTCTGATGAGCTGCAAGCTCTGACTGTGCCCTCTATATAGAGACATTATAAAACATAAAAATAAGTTCACAACTTTATTGTCTACACTGTGAAATTTACATTTGGTAGTTCTGTTTTCTAAAGGAGGAAAATATATTTATTGCTTTACTCACCTTCAATGCAACCAACACTGCATGGGTTTTTGATTTCAGACCAACTGTGGCTGAACCTTGTTTAACAGCTTCCATTGCATATTCAATTTGATGAATCCTGCCCTAAAGAGAAAAAACAACATATCCCGAGCCATCTTAGGCTTTTATTTTAATTAAATTTTTTAAATTAAATTAAAAATTAGAGTTCCCAAACCTCAACTGAGCATAGTTAAATCTTAAATGATTTTTTTTTTAAAACCAGGAAACTTATTTTAATTATAAATCTAAGTTCCAGGAATGTGATTAAAAATTAGAGTTCCCAAACCTCAACTGAGCATAGTTAAATCTTAAATGATTTTTTTTTAAAACCAGGAAACTTATTTTAATTATAAATCTAAGTTCCAGGAATGTGTAAAATGATTATATTCCATTTTCTCATGGCCTGTAACCTAAAGAGTTTCTAAACATATTGCAGCCACAAGAAGCCACTTCATAGAAATGGTATAAAACATTATCTTACCTGAGGGCTCCAAACAGTGACATCATTGTCATACTGGTTGCGAAACTGAAAGTAAAAGAAAAAAGATCTATTAATACAGGAACGTTACAAATCCAAGCTCCTAACATTTATTAAGAAACATGCTTGCATGTGTTTCCACTCAACATTTACACAATTCTGTTAATGTAACCTCATTGGAAGATTACTATCGTACTCAGTTGTAAGCCAATTCCACATTTACCAATAGCTAGTGATGGAGGGAGACACAGATCTAGACAGGTCCTATTTTCCCAATTTCCTATTCTGCCACTCTCCACAGTACTCCCTTTGGGTTCCGTCAGTTGCTAAAGTTCATACGCATCAACTTTCCTTCCTAACTTTATGTTGTTCCCTTATACTGGGCCCTAATAATGGTCAAAAGCCTTCTTTTTTTCTAAATTAGCTCAAATATCTATCTCTTGATGTCTTCATCTTTTCTCCCCAAATGTCCAACACATACTGCCTCTAATATTACAATTAGAGACACGTCTGATTTATTTTTGAACCTTTGCTAAAGTGCTTTGTACGTATAAATACTCATAATGAATGAACACAAAAATATCCTCAGGAAGTTAGAGGCGGACACATACAGCTACAGCGAGAGAACCATTATTGACATAATGACAGTATTAAAAGAAGTCTGTCAGAACTTGGGAGAATAATCATAGGGGTGAGAAGGTTGAGTGCTGGAATGGGAGACATGGGTTGGAAGCCCAGAGCCCCATATTTTAACCCTGATTCCATCACTTCCCCTCTCAGCCTCGGTTTACTCATCACAAAGTGATTGAAAAGGGCCTTTTCTGATCGAGTTCTAAGGGAGAGGCAATCAGACGGCCCCACCAGGAAAAAGGAGGCGGTCCAGAAACACAAACCGTGGGGTCAAGTCCGCACTGGCAGTACAGAGAGGCCCCCAAGTCAAGTTCCTATCTTCTGTCTCATGCAGAGCACGAGGGGCTGCTGTGGACCGCTCGCAATCTACTCCACTGAAGGAACTTGGGCGTGGGTACAGGGTGGAAGGGACTCGGCTAGTTGACAGAGGAAGTGTCCGAAGCCCCGCGGAAAGCGAAATAAACCGCGGGGCAAAGGCCGCACCTATTACCGACCGCCCCTCGCCTGGCCAGGCCGGAGATGCTGAATCACTGCCGGAGCCCTCCCGTGAGCTGAGGCGCTCATGCCCCGTGGCCCCAGACCCCTCTAAGGATGACAAGAGACGGGGCTCATCATCCTCCAGTGACCGGACCTCTGCCCTAAACCTTCCAGGGATTGGGATACAACGCACCATGACTTCAGCGCCGGCCTGGCTGTGGCCTCCTGCAAACAGGCGAATCAAGGAGCACTGCCGAAACTACCACTCGACGATCTGCAGAGAAGTCTGTGGGAGGATTCGGACGGCAGCGGCGCAAGGCAGGGTAGTGTATCCCAGAGCTATCGATAGGCGTCCAAAGCTTCCCCGCCCGCTCGGGGGTGGGCGGGGCCTCCGAGGATTGAGGAATTGAGATTGGCGGGAAACCCTGGGCCAGGAGTGCCTGCTGGGGCTCCGAGCTGCGGCGCCGCCACTAACACGTCTCTCTTCTTGGATCCTCAGCCAAATTCTGTGTGTACTGCAGATTCCCGCCAGTTTCTCACCGCCGCTGCCGGATGCACCTGAAATCGCTTGAGACAACTTGCCGCTCAACCTGTCATTCACCGTCCACAGAGATATGGGGTGTTGTGTGACTGAGAAGAATGAGGCTGCAGGAAAGGCCACGAAAAAATGGTCGGTTTGTGTGTGTCAACCGTACCTTCCTCGAGTATCTTGTGTACATGCTTTTCTTCTTTACTCCCTGGAGGTCTCATTTTTCAAGGCTCGTTGTCATTCACTACTTATTTTTATTATCATTAGTTTCCTCTTGAGGGTACTAATGTCTTTCTGTGCTCTTAAAATCAAGCATGATACCTCAGAAAAAAATGGACATTTTCTTCCGACTTAACGTATTTTGTCTTTGGAGAGCACCTTTCAGTAAATCCTCAAGTGAAATACTTTGACAGCTCTGTAAACAGCTGCCAACCTGACATCTACCGACTACTAATTTTCTTTATAAAGGAGAAAGGATGAGTTCTTAGCCTCAGGTAAGGTAAGCGTTGAGGACCTGAGTTTTGCAGGTGAAGTAACAGACTCATCACTTTAAGTGATTTGCTCAAGTTCACAGCAACTTCGTATCACACTTTTAAATTTTTTCACGTATATATTTTGAACATTTTTTCATGTTAAACACTTTGTAGGTCAAACACGACTCCCTAGTGTTCTGTGTTGTGAACATAATGGTATTTACCCAGATCTCTATTGTTTAATATTTAGGTCCCTCCAAACAACTCATTTATGAATGGTTTTATATATCTTTTTTTGTGTACATCCATTCTTTATTTAGAATAAATTCCTAAAAATGGAATTGCACTGTCAGATGAAATGGATGTTTTTAAGTCTTTTGATAAAAAGTGCTAAATTGTCCAGAAATGTTTTAGCAATCTATACTCTCAACAGGAGTATAAAAGAGATTGCCTCCTTAAATTCACCAACACTGGTTATGTGATTTTTAAAAAGTACTGTTAATTTAGTAGATTAAATTATCGGATTAAATTAATAGATTGTTTTGTTTCTCCAGCACCTTTCACAATGTCTAGCACATATTAAGTGCTTCATAAATATTGCTGTGTGAATAAGTGAATGTTGAATGAATGATTAAATAAATGCTCACTTGAAATTTGCTGTAGTACACAAACATTTTGATAATTCTTTTCCATATATTTCTGTCGTCACATGCCTCACAGAAATGTATAATAAATATATAATTTTAAAAAAATTTTACAAATAAAATGATACTAAACTATTTTATACTAATACACTTAAAAAATTACAGCTATCTTATCATGTCCATAAGTAAAGATCAATATTTTCAATAGTTCCACAGTATTCCACTGTGTGGAAAAACAATAATTTACCTAACTATTGGTGAGCAATTAGATTATTTCCAAGTTTTTGCTATTAGAAAAATACTATAATGAATATTCTTGTACATGCACATGCTTTGTGTACTTTCCTGATTACCTCCTTATGATGAATTCACAGACGTAGAATTGTGGGGTCAAAGGGAATGCACATTTACACTTATAATACATATGGCTGAGTTTCAAAAAAAGTTGTATCAATTCATATTCTACAGTGCCTGAGAGTTCACTTTCTTTATATCTCCCCAACACTTGATATTGTATTTTTTACCTTTATCAAGCTGTAGGCAGAAAAAGTAAAAACCTCTTGTTTCAATTTTATTTTATCTATCTATTTTATTTTATTTTATTTCAATTTTATTTGTATGTTTTGGTTACTAGTAAAAAAAATTTTTTTACCTTTATCAAGCTGTAGGCAGAAAAAGTAAAAACCTCTTGTTTCAATTTTATTTTATTTTATCTATCTATTTTATTTTATTTTATTTCAATTTTATTTGTATGTTTTGGTTACTAGTAAAAAAAATTTTTTTCATCTATTTCTTGGCTGTTACTCTAGAGAATTGCCACTTCATTCCTTTTTCAATTTATTGTTGAGTTAATTATTTTCTCATTGATTTTTTTAGGAGCTCCCTGCAGTTAGGTATTGTAACCTCTTATTACTGTGTTACTTTTATAGAAGGAGCCTTTGGATAGAAAAGATACCCACTTTTAGCCCAAGTAAAAGGGTGGGGGGGTTGGGGTGGCAGATATTGTAAACTTATAATAGGGAATCACATAAACATCCAAGCATAGGAGTTTTTTGTTTTTTTTTTTAAATATATACTGAGGTAGTCCTAGTACATGGAACAAAGCTTGGCATATAGTACGCACTCACTAAACATTTGTTGAATGAATGAAATAACGATGGATCTATCCTGTTCTTTTGATTATTAATTATCTCCTAAGCAAATATCTGGGGCTTTGTGGTATATCCTTCATTCACAATAATTGGTTGTACTCTTTGGAGTGGCTCTTATCAAAGATCCACTTGTAGAGCAAAAGAAGGGGCATTTTGTTGGTCTTTTTGTTGAAACTGAAGGTCCTGAATGCTTATTAAAGTTTTATACGACTTTCAGCTCCTCTCTGCATGTTTTGGGGATTTAGCTCAGAATACATCTTTATCCTTAACCAAGAGCTGATAAGTTGATCAATAAAGATATTTTGTAGAAGGACTGGGTCAGCAAACATAGCACTACCTCTTTAAAGGACATTGGTAAGTTATGTCAGGCTTTTTATAGAATTAAATGAAAAAAAATTCTAAATAAAAGCCAAGGTGAAAACTTTTTCCCATTGACATAAATTTCATTGTGTTACTCTGCTTAACAACTGTAACTAGTACATTGAACAAATGAGATGTGTAGTGTGTAATATGCAAATAACTGATTGTTCCCCCCCCACATGTTAAAACACACTTGATGGAGTTAATTCTTCCATGCTTATTAGATGAAATATAGTACAAATCTCATGACTTTTCTGATCATACTAATAAAAACAAGTTAAGAGCCACAGATCAGTAATTAATATGCCAGTATAATAAAAATTTTGATGGTGAAGCTTCTTGCCTCCCCCAGGTAGAGCCTGCCATGGTAAAAGCAGAAATGGCTGACTTCCTCTCTATGTACCTGCCTAAAATTTCTCTCCTAATGCCCCCTCCCACCACCAACACCAACTAGGTTGCCTTACCTCTTCCAAGCTGAAACAGAGGAAGGGGCAAGAAAGTTCTCAACTTGGCTACTAGCTCTGAGATTAAGGGTTGGTACTCTTTGAGCTTGGTAGGTGTTTACAGCTGGCACTTGTTACTTTATGGGTTCTTTGAAAACATCTTCATTCTCATC